GATCATAAAAGATTGTCGTAATTCATTCTGTCTAGCTTCAGAATGTTTATTCTTTGGTAGGATTTGGTTATTCTAAATTAAGGTTTTTTATATTAATTAAAAATATTAACTAATATAGTAATATATTTTAATTACACAAATATCAATTTTTCCAGTTTTGCATAATTCATGCAAGTTCCGAAGATGGGTGATTGCATTTCCAGTTGACTGGCTAGCATAATTATATTTAGTATCACAGTTAGCATTAGTGCCATCATTTTTTTTGATTTGGCAAACAATAATAGGAACTTCTACTCCATTTTCATCTCTAGATGTGGTTTCCTTAAAGTATTGCTAAATCTAACTGGATTTGGCATATTTTTTTTCACCTTTATCCAAACTTTTTGGTTTTTTGTTAGAAAATTTAGGATTTGAATTGCTAAGATGTTTTTCTGCCATTTTTTTTTTCGAAAAATAATGCCAAAATAAAATAAAAAAAAAGCCAAATGATACCTGTATATATATTTTTTCAATAATTATAATTTAAATTTTATTACAATTTATATTTAACTAAGCGAATCATAAAGGCCATCACATATATATTACTTGGAAAACATTACATATGATACTATATGTTAAATATTATTTATTTTCAATGGCAGGAATAATGAACATCTCTGTGATTATGCTTTGCAGCTTATATATATGCTACTTGTAAAATAAAGGGTTCTGTCTATTATTTTACCATTTTATTAATTGTAAGATACAGGGTTTTAACTAAAATTGAATTTAATATTAAATCTGGATTTAAAGATAATGTTTGAAAGTAATAATACTCAGATATGAGTATAATATTCAAACTTAAATAAGCAGGCATGTATATATATTAATATCTAGGTTTAATATGCAAAAATTAAGATTAACAGGAATAATAATTTAAGTTCATACATTAATATTCAGGTTTAAATAAGTAGGTATGTATATGTATTAATATTCAGACTTATTTATGCAGAAATTAAGCATTAAAGTCATTAAGAATAATATTCAGGTTCAAATATGAAAGTATTAAATGTTAAAATTAAGAGATAATAATTTAAGTCAAGTTTAAATAAGCAGGTACATATGTATATTAATATCCAGAATAAATATTGCATATCAGTGGATTTGTAGAATTGGGTTTGTAAATAATTTTAATATATTAATATCGGGTTTAAATAAGCAGGTACATATACATTATATTAATATCTAGGCCTAAACATGCAAATATTAAATGTTAAAATTGACAGGGACAATAGTATAAGTTCAGGTTTAACTGTTAATATCTGGGTCTAAATATGCAGGTTAAATATTAAAATTAACAGGAATAATAATTTTAATATATTAATATCGGGTTTAAATAAGCAGATATATATACATTATATTAATATCCAGGTCTAAACATGCAAATATTAAACATTAAAATTGACAGAGACAATAGTATAAGTCGGTTTAAATAGTCTGGTATGTACATATCAGTATGTATATTAATAGTCAGATCTAAATATGCAAAGATTAAACATATTAATTAATGTGATAATTTCATTGTTAATCTAAAGAATATCAGAATAATTTAAGTCAGTTTAAATAGGCTGGTATATACATATCGGTATGTATATTAATTAATTAACAGGATAATATCATTGTTAATCTGAAGGATATTAAGAAAGTTAGTTATAAAATTAAAATTAGAAAAACATTCGAAGGACATTTGTACAATATAGATCCCATAATTATGATTTTTATAATATTTTATTTTACATATTTAATAAATAATATACTGGTCAAGTTTGAAAAGCCAGCATGTTTAATTGGCAGGCATTCTAAACTATGCTATTCAAATCTTGTATATCATAATTCATTAGATATCTAATATATTTTATATCAGATATCCAATAGATTATCTGACATATTTATATCGGATAATCTATTGGATATCCAATAGATTATCTGATATATTTATATCAGATATCTAATAGATATCTGATATAAATATATCAGATCATTCGGTTAAATCCATTTAGATATCTGATATAATAAGATAGATATCTGGATATAGTAATGCAGATAAATAGATGGCAGATATATCCAGATTGAAACTCTAGTTAGTTAGTTTTGAATTGTAACTAGTAGATGATGATGATGAAGAAATCAAAAAGATAAGTATCAGAATTTGAGTAAACTTTACATGAATAATAGCAGTTTAAGAGATAACTCTAACTGCAAATATTGGTCTTGATCATAGCATTAAAACCAGGTTAGTAATAAAAAGAAATACAGTTCACTTTGGTAGATTTGTCTCAAATATAAAAATAGTCTAAGAATTATAATCATATAGTTAAAAGTAAATAAATTTGAGTTAGTGATCTAGTGAAATTAATACTAAGATCAAATCAAAGAGTTTAAATGAAACATCTAAGCAGGAGTATTAGTTACAACAACTAGTGAAAAACCCTTGAGCAGACTTCTTAAATAGGTTATATAAAAAAGTTACATATGTAGCCAATTGTACACTTATCTGATAGTTCAATATAGATATGTTTGTATAAAATATATATTTGACATAAATATTAATAAAAAGCTAGGACCAAAGAGGTTATCTTAATATTAAAAAAAAAATTTTTTTATTATAATCTGATTTTATTATAATCTGTTATAATAATTAATTTTAGAGATATAATAACTTAATAAAATAAATAATTTGTCAACTCTTTAAATAACAAATTACAAGTTTAAAATCTACTAATAATGAAATTCGAATTTTTATTTATGTTATAACAACTGTTTTTAACAATTAGATTAAGATACTTGTAATTATAATTATATTAATATAACTAGCAGATTATAAGATATTTGTGTAATTAGTTATATAAAGAAATATAAAATAACATCAAACCATACAAATCTAAAATAAATTTTTATGACTGTATAAATCTATAAAAATTGAAAAATAAGAAACCTATTTGGAAAAATCTAAACAGAGAAATAGTATAGATCTTTAATAATACTATTATAAAGATTAATCTTATGAAATAAATACTAATATAAAAAAACTAAATAAGAAAAATCTTAGATAATAGATATCACTAACTAGACTACTAAAATTAAACTAGAGAAAAAGAATATTAGACCAATTTAATATATTAATAAACTAATTATAATCTTACTAGATTATCTGAATTAAAAATCTAAAGATAAAAGTAAAATATATTAAAGTATTTTGAATATATTACAAAATAGTATTAGAATTAGAATAAACTCTATAAGAACATAACAGTTTAATGATTAACTCCAATCACAAGTGTTGATTCAACTATAATAATATTAAATTAACTATAAATAAATATATAAAAAATTCTGAGAAGTTTATTTTAAGGATAAAATAATCCTATGATTGAGACAAAGATTTGAATATAACCTAATAACATTAATATAAGTTGCAGATTCAGAAGGTTTAAAATGAAACATCCAACAAAAGTGTTAGATATAGCAATTGGTAAGAAACCTTTGGATGAACTTCTTAAATAGGTAATATAAAAAAGTTACACATGTAACTAATTGTACGCTCTTCCTGTAGTAGTTTACACATTACCAAAAATGTTAATAAAAGTCAAAAGACCCAAAAGGTCACCTTACAAAAAAAAAAAAAAACAATAATTGATTTTGTAAAATGTAATCATAAATTGTACTATATAAAATTTAGAACCTAATAAACCAACTGGCAGTGTCGCCAAAGTTTTTTTTTAAAAAAGTTATATATATATTTAGATTCGAGATTTTGTCTACCTTGTACCAACCCCACACAATATTAGCTAATGTCTGGCACTTTTCTAACCCTTTTGCTAATTTTATTATTAAATTACTAATCCATAGCGAATTTGATAAACGTGACAATCTCTAACTATATATAAAGCAGGCCAACCCTTTGTCGGCGAAATTGGTTTATAAGTACCATAATTTGTTTATAATCAAATAAATTTTAACATTTAATATTATAATTACTCTATATACCTCTCAATTAAATTACATATACATATGCATATGTAAACCTCTTAAAATTCACCTGGTACCAAAAAGATATACTGGCTAGATTAATTTAAATTTTACTGTATATATGTCATAATCCAATAGAACCGAACATTACTTAGCACATAGTTACCAAGTATAATATAAAAACAAACCTTTTATACAAGATGGTCAACTTGATTTTTTATCAATTTACAAAAACATATAATATCTAATACCAAATATTTTTATTAATTTCAAATATAAATAACTCACATATATATATAAATAGTATTCATATACATGTGTACAATATTTTTATTACGTATTACGATCCGTCTTTTAATACATTCTTACAAATATATACTTACTATATAAGTTTATACCTTTATGTTTTCATCTACGTGAATGTGTAATTTTTTTGGATTTGTAATTATCAAAACAAAGCAATATGAAAGTAATATCATTTCAATCAATAAAAATGTAATAATAATTTTATCAGGCATTTAGATATATTTCACAATACAATGATAAAATCTTACTTTATTCTCCAATTATACATGATCTCGTAAGATTGAACAGCAACGGAATGGTTGAAAAGACTTCATAAACTAAGCTTTATATGTATATATATGTAGAAAGTTAAGCGCTATTTTTCTTTTTTTTTTTTCTAATGATCAAGCAGATTAGATAAGAGAATAATTATAATTCTAACCTCAAATTTTTTTTCGATATACAATTTTAACAGTTTTCCTAATAAAATGATTTATGTAAATCAATAAGATTAAATCAGACGGAACACACCATTATAATTATAAAATTGAACAAATGAAAATGGTAATTATTTTTGAAAAAAAAACATTTTTTTTGGTTTTAATTCGAAGATCTAATCGCATTACTAATTATAAATCACAAATAATTTCAAAAAATATATTAAAAACTTTTTTGAGATCATAATTAAGAATAATTACCAAATAATGTTATTCTTCCATCTGTCTTTTAACACCTCTGGGAGGTTGTCCTGGTGGAAATTGTGGTGGTAAACCGGGAGCATTAAATGAGGCAGATCCTCCAGGAGGTGGCAATGCACCCGGAGGTGAAAGACTAGTTGGCATATTCCCTGACGGTGGCGCTGGTGGTAGTGGATTAGGCGGAATAGTACTACCACCCATCATAGGAGGAGGAGGAGGAGCAGTAAGAGGGGGAGCAGTAAGTACGGGAGCAGCGGCCACAGTGCCTGGAGCACCAGTTCCAACCGGTGGACGGGCCATCATTAAAGGAGGATGAACAGGTGCAGCTTAATAAAAAGAAGATCAAACTTAATTAAGTATTACCAAATTTATAATTTTATTATAGAAAACATAAAATATCTACCATACGGAGGTGGATTAACAATTGGCGCAACGGGAATGATACCAGGAATATAACCATATTGAGGTGGAAATCCTAAGGAATCAATAAATTCAATAAACGTATCCACGCAAAATTAAACATTGAACAAAAATTAGACTAGGGTTTACCGGCTTGTCCAACACATTCGTACGCTTTTGTAATTTCGTCTATAATTGCCTGTGCTTTATCTTGGCCTAATTCTGTTTTTTCTGACCGATCAGCAGGTGAACGGATAGACGTAAGAAAGAAAAAAAAAAACAAAAAATAACATACCGGCATAATAGTTTCTTACATTCATGATATGATTTTTACCATTATTATGAGCTTTTCGCACCGATGATGAATCTTTAAAAATTTTCACTTATTAGCTTTAAGAGTGTGTGATCTCTATTTCCAATAGAACCAAATAACACTTACCGTGCGTTAAATATACATCACAATAATCTGAAGTTTTTAAAATAGAAAAGATCAAAAGAATGATCATAAAAAAGACCAAAGTACAATAGCATGTATGTGAACTTACCACAGTAATATTTTGGCATTATGAAGTTAATGAAAAACTGTAATATTATGCAAACGCGAATAAGTTTTCACGAGAAACTTATGTATAAAGTTCACATTTGGGTGGCTTATAAATACGTATAGTAACTTAGCTTACTCTTAATGTTAGGCTTAAAAAGTTCATAAATCACGTGATTTGCACGATCACATGATACAGTCGTAAAATATATCGATATGACGGTCTTCGAAACTGACTTTTAAAAATCAAACTTTTCAATAATGACCGGCGACGACGAAAAACCCGGTAAGTCATTTATAAAAAAAAAAAAAACTTTGTTTGACTATAGCCAATGAATAAACGGTTTTTTGTATAGTAATGATTGCTACGCAACAAGAAATGGAAGAGGCACACCTTCCTCTAGAATGGCGAGACTTTTGTGCGCATTTATTAATACCTTTAAATAAATGTCGAAATAAAACTAATTACTTGCCGTGGAAATGCGAAAACGAGAGGCACGCATATGAAAAATGTCAATATGATGAGTAAGTAATCGATAAATAAATATTCAAAAAATAATTTTCTTAAAATCATTTATCTCATTCGAAACATAAATTGGAACACGATGCGTTTATAAAGCTATTTGCGTAGAATGCGGCTTGCAGAGAAAAAGCAAAGAGAAGAGGAACAAAAGAAACAAAGCAATAGTGCATAATATTAATCTTTGATTGGATTAATAAAGAGTATAGTATTTGAAATTTATAATCATTGACAATATTATTGACAAAATCATTGATAAAAATCACTAAAGAGAGAATTTACACTAAGATCCTCTAATTTTTTGTTCAGTGAACAATACATGTCTACGAACTTGTAATAATTTATAAAAAAAAAAAAAAAAAAAAATCAATATCGCACCAAATAAAGAGCTTGAAAAATAATGAAAACATACCTATAGGATCATATTTAATACACGATAACTTTGGTAGTTGTCTTGGTCGAGTTCTTGTGTAAAAGTAACCTGTACCGACAGCTGAGACAAGTTTTACTATTGTTGTCCTTGTTTTTTTTTTGATTTATCAACATAAATATATTCGTTATCATTAATGTCATTAATTGAAATTTTGGAACTTACCTTGCTTTAGCTTTCTTTGCCACTTTTTGTCGAAAGTATAAATAGATTAAAAGATATTCAAATAATTAAGATAAATTACACGCAGATATAATGAAAGGCTCACTTTTTAATTATCAAGAATATTTCAAATTCAACAAAAAAAATTGACGTTATCTTATTGTTATACGTTAATCACGCAAATTATTAAATTATTTTTAATTCGGGCCAATCGAATCCGGCAGAATTACAATGTTAAAAAAAGATATTGATGTCCGATTGGACCATCCTTTAATTCATGTTGATAAAGAAATGTATTATATAAAAAACGCGGCAAAGATGACATTTTTTATACGTATGTTAATGTTAGATATAGAACCAATTTTTTTACACATTTTAATTTTTTATATAAATCTTTTGTATAATATAATTTTCTTTTTCTTTTTTTTTTTTTTAAATTGCTTTATTACATAATTATTTGCGAAAATGACACGCCGCTTTTAATGTAAAACTTTTTTGGTAGTCAGATACCAAACACTATTCGTTGAAAATTCTTTTGGAGCGATTGGATTGGACTAGAAAGTCGTAAAGATTACCGAAAAAGTATAGTTAATTATTTAATTGATAAAATGACAAGATATTCCAAAGAAAACACGCAACTGATTGACGATGGGCGCTTCCAGTCAATCGTCTATCACGTTCCATCATTTGCGTATCCCAAGTATCTAAAGAGATCCTTGGAGGCTAAACAATCAAGAAAAGGAACAATTTATACATCATCACAATTAGTTGAATCAATTTTCACAAGTGTTTAGGGATAATTTTGACATTTTCATAGTAAAAAATTACCTTGCCTTCATGTCGAATTCTTTTTGTATAATTTAATAAGGTACCAGTTACTCCAGTCATTGCGACAATTATACCTGAAATGAAAATTCATTAGGAAATCAATAAATAGTTATCTTTATATTAAATTAACTGAAATTCATTCACCTAAAGGGATAAGCGCCTCAAAAGGAACAGGCATGGCTACTGGAAAAATATCTAATGATATAATTTTAAATTTTTAAGTGAAACAATAAAAATTAAAAAAAAAAAAAAAAAATAAAGGAAATGCATATTTATTTATTGTTGTACATATATAAAATTGATTTTATTTCGCAGATCAAAAATTACAGTTAATCATTTATAAATAATTCCCGATCGGAGTTAACAAACTTATGATTATGTTGTGTTAATGTTAACAGTCAGGTTTAAAACTAAGACGCGTCAGCCTCCGAATGTTCGAATGTTTATTACATATCAAAATATACAATATCTCGCCACAAAAAATGTGAAAAATGTAAGGTCGTTTCTTTTGTGTCATTCAGCCCTGGTGTTACCTTTACGTCATGTAATAGTAAAAAGAAATCATCGACAGAACCATTTGATAACAAATGTTTGTCTTTGCAATTTCAACACGTGCGACTTAAGATTTACCATATATCGATATTGACATGTCTTTATTTTTATAAATAAGCCCAATTTCTCTCACGCTGTTTTTCCATAGATTCTTCGCTTTTTTTTCTCTCTTGAATTTTTAAAATTTTGACTTTACAAGTTTATTATAATAATAAATAAATAAAAATCATGACGACGCCAACACCAACAACACCAACCGTTTTCGACAAAATTAAAACTACTTTTCAAGACGGAAAAACTCAAGTTACCAGAGCAGTTTCTGATGTTAATGCAGAAATATCAAAAGCTGCTCAAAATAACAACATAAATTCTCCGTTACCAGGCGATTTCACTTCTGAAGTAACAAAAGCCACAAATATTTTGAAGGGTTTTACCGGTGATTATATGAATACACGTTATCTTATATTTGTATTTATATTTACTTATTCGTGACTTTTTATAAATTCCTTTTTTAAGATCCTGAAGGAGGTCTGGATCACGTAATTCCAACGGATATTTTTAATAAAGCATTCGGTTTAGCTATCTTCACCGTCGTCAAGGCTGGATTCGTATGGTCTGGACGCGTCGGATCTGGTTTGGTTGTTTCCAAGTAAGCTTATATTGTTGTTACTTTATATTATTTGCATAATGATTAGTTTTTGCTAAATATTGTAAAATGTTATTTGTCTTGTAGGCTTGATGATGGAAGTACGTAAATTATATGGTTGTTTCTTTTATTATATTTGTCATACAAATTGTTTATCATACTCTTTTTTTCCACGATGTAGCTTGGTCCTCTCCATCCTGCATTAGCATCGGTGGGCTGGTAAGTTTCTACTGATAAAGGAATTTTATCATAACGCTTAAGATTTCACTTAATATTTATTAATATTTATTAGGGTTTTGGTGCACAATTCGGTGCTGACGTTACTGACTTTGTAATCATCCTTAACACCAAAGAAGCAGTCAAAGCATTTTCCCATGGTGAAAATGTAACTTTGGGCGGTAATTACATATTGTCATTTATTATTATTATTATTATTATTATTATTATTTATTTCATATAATAACATCCATGATATTTTCCCATATATTTATATAGGCAGTTTATCTAGTAAGCTTATCCTTTTTTTTCATATTAGCACTAGTTTTTTTTTAATAAATTACATATAATTTACAAATTCTTATTTTAATTATTATTGTAGTAACCGCCGGTCCTGTTGGTGTCGGAGGTGAAGTTTCTGGTACTGTTTATGATGGCGCTGCTCTCTTCTCTTATAGCAAATCTAAAGGTCTTTTCGTCGGTACGTTTTTACTATCAAAATATTATTCATTTATAATTAAGTTATTTATACTATATTCATTCTTTATTTCCAACTTTTTATAGGTGTTTCGCTCGAAGGTACTATCATCTTTGAACGTAAAGATGCGAATAAGACTTTTTATGGTGAAGATGTTTCCGCCGAAGATCTTTTGTGTGGAAGAGCCGGAAGACCTCATCCAAATGCCACTCATGTGTTATATGAAGCTATTAGAAAAGCTGAAGAAAGACAGCCCAAAAATTAAATTAATATTCATAACATAAATTCATTATTTTAACATTATTAGCAATTCAATAGTCATTCAATATATTCAATTTTATTTTGATATACGCTAATATCTTTTATTTTTGTTATCTTACCTTTTTGATTATGCATTCAGATAGTAAAAAAAAAAAAAACCAAAAAAAAACCCCAATTAAATATATTTGATTATATTTTTTTTATAAAACCCTTTTTTGTTATTAAACTTATATTAAACGCGATTTGATAAAGGCTTAATTTTAAATCCAGTTGGTTTAATTTTCACATGCTAGTACCATATGATCTTTAGGGTCGATCGACTGGCGTTTCTGTAACGTTAGACAATACTAAAACGTTGTTTTCACGCGATTTTTGGATCACTTTGATTGTTTTGACAGCTAACACTAAAAAAAAAAGTGACGCACAAACCATCTCATTTTATCTGGGGTTCTTGCGTCTCTGCTATTGATAAATCATTCATTAGTATTACTCATTAGTCATTCGAATACTATTAAATACATTTAAAATAAACCTTATAAATTATAATGAATCAATATGCTATCACAAGTTTATCGCTTTTTAAGTCTTTTAATCGAGTGTACGTATCCAAAAAACAAACTCATTATCGTTATCTCTATTAATTACTAATTTATACGGATTAGACCGTGTGTATACCGTATCAACATCGTAAATCAATATCTTATATATTGTAAATTTAAATGAAAGTGTTCTACTTTCTAAACCCCACAAAAAATTTTATAATGTTAAAATGGCTGATTTTTATTTATCTAATTTATTTCTTTTGGATTAAAGGTAAAATATTTGAGATTCCGTTCTAGATTAATTCTTTTTAATTCTTCTGCGTCTTCTAATGAATCTATGCATAAAGATTTATGTAATATATAATTTATATATATATTATATATAATTACAATTATAATTTCTGAATTGATTGTAATATTGGATATATATAATAGAAATAAATCTCAATACCTTCATTATAACTATTCGCCATTTCTAATCTTTTACGAAGATTATCTTTTTTGATCTTTTCTTTAAGTTTTTTTAGCCCGGTTTTAGTCGACGGAAATTTATTCTTGACATTTGCTTCTTTAACTTTTATTGGATCATTCTTTTTTAACGAACGTGCTTCACGTCTTTCATTAGAGGTATTATACCAAGCTAGAAGTCGCTTTTTCAATTCTTCTTCAGTTAACACTGTTTTAGTTTTATGTAATTTTTTGACCATTGGTATTATTTATCGAATATATTCGCTTAATGTTTAGCATTAAGGTTAATGCAGTTTAAATATTAACGTTAAACTGAATGTGTAACCAATCAAAAAAAATTTACATATCGATATGATTTACACTAGCACTATGTAGTACATGCGTATAAATTCATCTCTTATCACTCTTATCATTATCGTTACCAATCAATGGCAACAGTGGAAATTCTTCCTCTTAGTCGTACTTTAAAAACAAATCAACCCATACTAATAACTTCAGTAACTACAAATTCTCCTCTTTCTCTTATTAATCACCTTCATAAAATTTTTAATGATATTATTGAAGAAGGAACTACATATCCTCAAGAATTCAGTCTTGATTATGATGGTTTTATTAATCTCTTTTTAAGTCATAATACCTTCATTGCTTTGAAAGATGATGATAATGAAAATAATAAAGAAAATTGGGAAGATAAAGTGATGGGTATGTTCTACATTAAACCTAATTATCCTGGACGATGTAGTCATGTAAGTTACTTTACATCATACTGTATACACAAAATACTTTTTAATAAATCAATCTACTGTATATTTTTTTAGATATGTAACGCTGGGTTTGTGGTTCCATTTAAATTTAGAAATTTAGGCGTTGGTAAAATAATGGCAGAATCATTTCTTTTATTTGCTCCATTATTAGGCTATAAATCTAGTGTTTTTAATTTAGTATTTGAAAATAATATTGCTTCTATAAAACTTTGGAGATCACTTGGATTTAAAGAAATTGGAAAAATACCTAACGCTGCGAGATTAAAAGGTTCTGATAAATTAGTTAATGCATTAATGTTTTATTATGATTTTGATAAAATAAATTATTTAGACCAGACCAATTTAATTCTTTGTTTAACATACTTTTTTTTTAAAAAAATTTATATGAACTCAATATATATACATTAATAGTAATTAATAATATTTGCCTCTTCTTAATTTTTTAAATTTTATATAACTAATATTGATATTTTTGTTTTTCAATGTCTTATTTTTTTCTTACAGTTATTTGATATTATATTAAACAAAGAATTAAATTGGTTTAATCTTGATTTAAAATATTGTATAATATTTTTTTTTTTTTGAATTTTGGTGACAATGCCAGTTGGTTTATTAGCTTTAATTTGATATAATACAAATTTATAGTTACATTTTTAGAATTGACTATTACTAGTACTATATACTATCTAATTTTACATTATTGACTTCATCTGATTATCCTTATGGCATCTAAGTGCAAGTTCGCTACATGCCTACATGCAGTTATCTTAACAACCACTTGTGGTCAGGGCACATCATTAAACTATTACACAGACAAGAATATCTATCAAACTTAATACAGTATCTCAAATATCAGAAGTAAATTTTTTGTAAATCATATTCATATGTTTTACTCACATGTTTTACTTGGTCTTGTTTTTTCTGCTTCTTAATCTAACTATATCTAGTATTACTTTGTTCATTACATTTCTCATCTTTTTGTCATTATATTATTCTCAAATTGGTTTTACTTAGATATGTTTGATCTTTATGATCTTTTTATCTTTGGTATGTTTGTTATTGATTCCCTTAAGGTGTTCTAACAATAGTCTAAAATTTGCAATAAACCTATATTTCAAATCAGATTTGCTGCTATTATTGGTCTTTTGACCAATCTGTATCTCAAGTCAGGTTTGTTATTACTATTCCTGCAGATGCTCTAGATCTTAATATTATATAGTAACTTGATACTATATTTAATCTTCAATATAGTATTCTTTTTTATAATAGAGATTAAGACTTGTTGTATTTACAAACAAGATAATTTAGAGATATGGCAACCTAGTGAAGTGGTCAGGTTGTCAACTCTCAAGTGGCAGATCTAGAGTTCAAATCCTATCCCTTAGATTGTAACACAGGCAAATTTGCCTGTGTAATTTTTTTTAAAATTAATTTTTATAATAAAATTTTAACAATTAATTTTAGCAATATACTTTCTAAGTAAAAAATATTTT